GTTCGCTGCCTGCGATGCTCGGGGGCGGCTCCGGAGCCTGGGACCGCGAGACAGAGGGCGATGCGGTGGGGGCTGTAGCCGCGCCGCCCGCCATCGACTTCCCCGCTGAGGCCGCGGACCCCAAATACGACGGTGAGTCGCCGGAGTGAGTGCCGCGAGCAGCCCTTGGCCCTGTCTATGTGTGCACCTGTGCCGGTCGGGTCAGTAGAGCGGGGCCGGGGACCTGAGCTCAATCGTTGCCTCAGGCCTTAAGGGGTGGTGTTGTGAGTCGGGGGCGGGGCGGGCGGGCTGTCAAGCTAGGGTAAATATTTATTGAAAGATCGTGGACGACTTGTTCCTTTCGTTCCCGTTCCTGGTTTCTGCGGACTTCGGCCATTGGCTGGGGAGAACTTCCCTGAGGCCGCTTCCCAGCTTCTAAACCCTATGGTTTTGTAAGTCTTTGAGAATGATCTTCGTCCACTGTTAAAATGGGACTTTACAGACTATACGCTCAACAGCTTGGCTAATTTTGACGTGTAGTATCTCTTGTCTTTTGATTTATTGCTAGTTTTGGTAATGATTTTTTATAGTGAGGAGGCAGTGTGGATATATGCTCAAGTTTTCTTGAGACTTTTGGTTTCTAGGACGTGTGGCATAACTAAGTTAAGTTACCAGCGTGAAGTGAGAGGTCCTTAAAAAGATCTAACCAAGCCAAGGTGTTCAGTATTTTACTGAAAGTGCAGGAAGGTCGTTGTTATTAGCTGTTTTGGCAAGTATTGGAATTGTATCTATAGTTGAGTGTTAGAGCGGGTACTTAGCATGAATAAGGTGCTAGGTTCAGTCCTCAGCACCAAAAACCAACAGAAAGAATGAATACATTGATTCAAGGAGGTTTTAACCGTGCAGTAGTTCTAATGCAGTGATTACAGACAATAAACGAAGCATGAAATAAATTACTGTGTTGTAATTAAAGGTGCAAACAAGTTGAAAAAGTTTTAGAAAAGTTAAGGCTCAGAGTGAGGAACCTGAGGAATTTGCAGAGAAAGATTGTAAGAGAACTTTTTTTAACGGCTGTGTAGGACCCCCCGCCCGTCGTATGTTACAGCAGCTCAATACTATGGAAAGTTTTTCAGAGGAAAAGTCCCAGCTATAAACATGCAAGTCTGTCTTTTGAATGATAAGAGTTTCTGCAAACTAAAGATTATTCTTGAAGGGACTAATCTTAGATAAGCCTTTAAATTTTTTCTTCTCCTGGGTTACTGATAATAGTGTTGTGCTTAACATTGCCTAGCATGTACAGATACAGTTGTTCTTAATGAAAAACAAGGTCTGTGAAAAATATAATTTCTTTTTCAAAATTAATTTAATTTTTGAAATAGGCTCTTGCTGTGCTGTCCTGCTTCAGCCCCCTAAGTGTTTTCCTTTGCTCCTCCAAGCTGCTGCCCTTTACCTAGGGCTTGGGGCATGCTGCACAATCCTATTTTGAGACAGGGTTTAGCTAAGTGGATAAGTTGTCCAGGCTGGGTTTGAATCAGCCATCCTCCTGCCTCAGCTTCGCACAGTGCTGAGATCACAGGCCTGTGCCACAATCATCTGACTTAGGTTTTGTATTTTAGACCTGATTTTATATTAGCATTTCCTTTGGAACAAGTTAGCCTTTAAAAACATTAGGACTGTAAAACATTCATAATATCATTTATTTGGACTTTTGCTGTATTATTTAAAATAGATTTGAGTCTTTTTTTGTCATTAGAAATAATGAGTTGGATAGTTATATAACCCAAATATTTATTTGTTTCTGATTATTTGTTTAAAATAAATATACAGAAATAGCATTGATGGATTGAATAATAAATTTTTAAAAAAATTTTGATACACACCAGGAAGGTTGTATTGGTTTATATGCCCACCTGTGAAACCATCTCACCTGACTTTCATTACTATTATTACTTTATACTGTGCTGCTTTGTTTTTTTGTACCAGGGATCAAACTCAGGTCCTTGTAATTAGGAGGCAGGCGGTGGCACCACTGAGCTAAATCACCAGGCTATACTGTGCTTACTTGACTTGATGATACTTATGAATGTCTTTCTGTACACTGTCATTTCTAACAATTGCAGTAGTATTTTATTGTACATACAGTTTCTTTAACAATTTTTCTAAATAGCATTATGCGGAAAATCTTGTGCTTTGTTTCCTGGGTGTTTCCTGTAATTTTACAAAAGTAAAATTAACAGGTCAAAGTTTGCATATGTTAAATTCTACACTGTATTGTTAAAGGTTGTAAACACTTTTGTACCTCTTATGTTCTAACACGTTTGTTTTTCTGTGCCCCCTTAAATAGTCTTCCAATCTGATTGGAAGACTGTAATGTGTTATTTTATTATGATTATGATTATCATTTTGTGGTAGTGAGCATTGAACCCAGGGCCTTTGCACTTAGTTCCAACCCTAGTTCTTTTTTAGTGTTTATTTTGAGACAGGGTCTCTTAAAGTTTCCAATTGCCAAGGATGGGCTAGAACTTCCTCTTTTCCTGCCTTGGGGTCTCAGAGTTCTGTGATTACAGACATGTGCCAACACTCCTGGTTTAACTTAGTGATTTTAATATGTGTGTCATTAATTACTAGTTATGTGAAATCTATTTGAATTTTTTTGGTACCGGGGATTGAACTTGGGTCCTTGTGCTTACAAGGCAGGCCACTGAACCACTGAGCTAAATCCCTGGCCCACAAACTTAATTCTTGTCGTGATTTTATTGCAGAATTTATTCCATGATTCTTTTGCAACCAGAATTGTAGAGAGAATTAAGTTTGTGAACTGGGGTACCACTGTACTTAGAAGTATATTGATAGTTGTAGAATACCATATGGCAATCTTTGTTGTTTCATGTTGGCTTTAAAAAGTGTCTATGTAAGCTAGGTGAGGTGGCATGGCACATGCCTATAATAATCCCAGGTGTCTAGAAAGCTGAGGCAGGAGGATCACAAGTTTGAGCCCAGCCCAGGCAATTTAGTGACTTAGAGAAGCCTTGTTTTTTGTCTCAAAATAAAAAATAAATTGCTGGGGATGTAGCTCAGTGTCTATTTGAATTTTTAATTGTGCTTAATTTTTAATTTTTAATTGCTTGTAAGAGCTCTATATAACTTTTTTTGGTCATGTAAAATACAGACATACATGCTATATCTAAATTTGTGATTTATAATTCTAACTTTAAGATGTTTTCACATAGAGAAGTTTTTACCTGGCCACATGTTTCATCCTTTTTGTTCCTTTCCTGTACTCAGACAGTTAAGTATTTATTTAAAATGAGTAGCACATCTGCATATATGGAGGTCATGCCCATCTCCCCCAAATTCCTTTGGCTACCTGTAGGTCTGAGAGGATATTGGCGATTGAAGCCTGTACTGGAAATCCAGGACCCTTAGTAGTTGGTAGAGGAAAAGGGAATAGACTCTTTGAAACAGGGCTGTCTGAAGTGTAGGTGATAGAAAAGGTCTGTATCTACATTGTGTTTCCAATTGAATGCATTAACAACTCTTAAGAGTTAATGTATTTGTCTTTCCTCTGACGGCTCCTTACCGATGTTCATGCTCATTAACATCTCCGCCTTGCCTTCCTTGTGTTTCAAGCCTTGGCCAGTCCATTTCTTTCTTGCTGTCTTTGGGATCTATTCTTTCCTCTTTGTTTCTAGGGTTTACACAGCTCATCCTAACCTTTTCTTGTTTACTGTATGGCTCTGTCATGTATGTTCCCAGTACAATTTCCTCAAACAGTTTTTCTCTTTTTTACTGGTTGAATAATCTTCAACTGAGAGCTTGAGCTTTATGTGCCAGCTTATCTGCCTGCTTGGCTTACATAGCGGAAAGAGAACCAGTTTGGGAGTTAAATCTGATCTGCCTGATTGACTAGCTCCTTAACTACTTGAAGATTGGTGTCTGTACAATGCAGATGGTAACCCTTCTTTATTTTGTGAAGATTAAAGGAGGTTGTGCATGTAAAATACCTGTACATAGCATGGGCTTGGCTTAAGTTTCCAGCCTTTTTCCTTCTTTCCCTTACCCAACCTTACTTATGCTTGGGCCTCAGAAGAAGGAAGCCATCTCATTCCCAGGTAGTAGTTTGCTTGCTTTTGTATTAATTGTTTTGTTTCGTTCTCCCATTGCACACACTGTCACTATTGACTATTTCCCCTCTGCCTCATGGTGTCTTTCTGCTGGTCCTCCCAACTTGACATAACTCCTCTTTTGTTTTTTATTTCCCTACAGTAAAATGATACCTGTTTTATTAATTACAATATGCTCTTCTGTTATATGAAACACGCTTACCAATATATTTTTTCTTTTCTAATTTTTAGAATCTGATGTTCCAGCAGAACTCCAGGTGTTAAAAGAACCTCTGCAACAGCCATCATTCCCTTTTGCAGTTGCAAACCAACTCCTGCTTGTCTCTTTGCTGGAACACTTGAGCCGTGTGCATGAAACAAATCCAGTTCATTCAAAACAGGTGTTTAAATGTAAGTAAGAATAAATTGATCTTGCTAAATAAAGCTTTAAAAAATACCATATTGTTTAATGCTGTGGGTCCAAGAAGGAGATGGTGTATAAAAACTGAATGTGTGGGCCAGGGATTTAGCTCAGTGGCACCACACCTGCCTTAAAAGTGCAAGGTCCTCAGTTCCATCCCTGGCACCAAAGAGAAAAACAAAAAAACAAAACAAAACAAAAAAATTGGGTGTGAAGTAAATGTGAAGAATTTACATTCCTTAAATTCATTTCATATTTTTCTTTAGCTAATTCTTTGTGAAAACGATCACCGGTAACTCCAGAATTATATGTAATTGAAAAAATAAAAAAGTTATTTTGCATATTCCCATGCTTTTTGAAAGCCTATTATAGTTTAATTGGTGAGCAACTGAGAGAAAATCCCATGTACTCTCTCTGAGCTAGTTCTTAACCAGAGCACTAGAACAGCTGCATATTGTAGTGTTGCATATGTTTATTGTTATTCCTGCCATAGGGTACTTATATGAGAAACTTGAACCCTAACATGAATGGAATTATGGATTCTGCTATCTCTGGTTCAGCTTACTGACTGAGATCATTATAGTGGCTTTAATATCTCCAGCCACAGATTCTGGGATTCTTTTCTACCTGAAGTTTTCCCAAGTTTTATTCAGTGTTAGAAACCCTCAAACTAATAGATACCTTTTACAACTTCCTCCTCCTCCTCCTCCTCTTCTTCTTCATCACTGTTGTTGTTGTTATTATTATTATTATTTTGGTGTGGTACAAGGGGTCAAACCCAGGGGTGCTGTACTACTGAACTACACCCCCAGCCTCCCCTTTTTTTTATTATATGTGTGGTAATGGGTGTTGAACCCAGGACCATCACACTGAGCTTCAGCCATAACTCTTTTTAAAAATTATCTTTGGATTATCTATTACTTTAGATTATCAAAAACATTCTATTAAACCCATTGTATAGCAATATTACAAAAACAATATTTCATCAGTTCTCATTTCATAGATGATCCTACATTACAGAATACAATTAAGGAAAAATACACACAAAATTACTAAGACCTAACAAGCCCCATTCACATTATGGGCATTAAATCAACCATAAGTTGATGCTGATAATTTCCTTTCTTCTTTGTCAACTTTTCCCACCCACAAAGAGAATTTTGATAGATAATATAATTATACCCTCTGAATAGCTACGATTTTCAAAAAAAGTAAAAGTTAAAATAACGATCAACAAAGGCACGAAATTGCCATGGCTTGCTTTCTGAAGCAGCTTTGATGATCAATCTTTTTTCCCCTTAACAAGTAGATGGTCACATCAAAAGGTGAAATAAAATCCCCCCAAAAATTGGACCTCAAAAGGCACAGTTCAAATTACTGATTGAAAATGCATTTCATTGGCCTTTTCCCAGTGGTTCATTCAATTATTTTTGTTTTTTGGTTTTTTGAGACAGGGTCTCACTATGTAGTGAGACTGACCAGGAGCTTACTATGTAGCCCAGGCTTGATCTCTCACAGAGATCCTCCTGCCTCAGCCTCCCGAGTGCTGGGATTACAGGCGTGCGCCACCACGCCCGACAGTCCATTCAATTTAATGACATTTGCTATACATTGCTCAAAAGGCCCTGCAGGTGGAACTGAATATAGTGCTACACACAAACAAAATGTAAACATGGAAGATGGATTATGACTGCATTTCACTGGTACACGAATAGGACATAAAGCCCTCATGCCAATAATAATATTGTTACACTAAGGGAACCCTTCTACCTAAACAAACCCATTCTCAGACAAGGCAAAGCACAATCAGCAGAAGCAAAAACAAACAAAAGACAGTATTTCTAGAAATTACTAGTTGCAAACAGGAGCAAACCTGGACTCTTTACTCACCATTTTAATACTGCTGCCAACTATAACATTAAAATCTGTACACATGACAAAATGGAAAAAAAGTCTCAAAATGCAATAGTTTTGGTAAAAGAATGTATTAAGGTTTATTACGGTTAACATTGCTGTAGTAAAAACAATAGCAAACAGGGATCTGGCACCACATTTACAAAATAAAAGCATGCCCCATTAATATACTTTAGATGTCTCCCAACAAAAAAGGCCATGAAGAGGGAAAACGAGCATGCTGTACTGAGACAAACAAGCAAGAATCAAAGTGGTTAATTTAGTAGTAATGTGGCAGCAAAGTCACTGATTCTGTTTGGAATTTAGCAATTTGCATTTCTAATTGACAGCCGCCCTGGTGTGTCTTTATCCAAGAAGCTGACTTCATCATACTGCATCAGCATTTGTCTAGGAATTTGGTAATTAATATATATAAACAAGGTTAACCTCAACCATAAGCTTAAAAGAGCTAGAATCTTACTGCAGAACTCGTCAATATAATTACCATTCAGAAATTATCATGGTATTTTGAGCAGGAAAGCAACGTAATTTCATTCAAAAAGTTATATTTATTAGCCCTAATAACTGAAGAGAATTTTAAGTATGGAAATAATATATTCTGGACCATACCAAGAGTTAAAAACAAAGAGTTCCTATTAAGAGGAATCTTTTTCAGATGATCTAGTCACATCATGTGCATAATTAAGACTGTGTTTAATAAAGATTCTTTGCAAATAAATAAATTTAGTAGTTATTCTTCTCTTGATGAAAAAAAAACAAACTTTAGAAATGAATTGGTGATTTGTCCAGAAAGAAAAAAATGTAAGCTATGTAATGAAGTTCTGGAATGCAGCACCTCAACTTCATATCTGCCCTAAAAATTATAAAATCCAAGTGTTGTTTTGATGATCAAATCACACTTTTCAGTTGTTCAGATTCCAGTGTCTAACTTTAGTATCTTTTGTCAATTAAAATTCCCTAATGCAGAAGATTGTGCTAAAAAGTGCTAAGGTTCTGCATGTTGCTGCCATTCCCTGGTCCTGTCATGCTTGCAGCTGCCCACAAGGCAGCAAAAGATGTCTGATCTCAACACTCCACAGTGTAGTAACTTTTACTAACATCCCCCTTCTTCAATGAAGTCCACATTCCTTTAAGTTGTTTTTAATGATGACATGTGTAACAGCATCAAAAACAAACTGCACATTCTTGGTGTCTGTGGCACAGGTGAAGTGAGTGTAGATCTTCTTGGTGTCTTTTCTTCCGTTCAAATCTTCAGTATGGCACTGAATGTAAGCAGCTGCCTCTTCATGTGTTTTAGAACCTGTATATTCTGGATAACATATATTTAATAGACTCCTCTTCATTTTTTCTTCAAAAAGCTCTTCCTTGTTAAGGAAGAGAATGATTGAAGTGTCTGTAAACCATTTGTTACAGTCGCTGTCCAACAGTTTCATGCTTTCATGCATTTGGTTCATTTCCTCATCCTCAGCTAAAACAGGGTCATAATCACTGAGTGCAACACAAAAGATAATTTCTGTCACTCCCTCAAAACAGTGAATCCATTTTTTTCATTCTGATCTTTGGCCACCTATATCAAACATATTGAAATTCAGGTCTTTGAAGGTAAAATGTGTTTCCACAATGCCAGTGTTCTTCACTCTTGTCTGAAGAACATCTTGCTGTATTGGAATGTAGTTGGTTTGTGATATTGTATCCAAATCATTTAGGTAATATGATGCAGAGTCATTGAGCTGATGTTCCCTGGATCTGCTAAAGCATGCCTGCACCCCATCATCTCACGACAACCGTTTAATCATTCCTGCTAGTTCTGAAGTCATGATTCCTTCTTCAGCACTGCCAGCTAAAACAAATAATTGCTAAGCATCATCTGCTCTGGCAGCTTCCCCAAAATTAATCTTTAGCTGTCCCATGGCTCTTATGATTACAGTGATGGACTGTATAGTATTGCTGTAGACAACTGTTTTATATTGTTTACAGTCTTCCTCTGAATAGCTGTCTTCATGCATAATTTTCATCTGTTTCACAATGGTACTTTTACCAGATTCTCCAGCACCAAGTAATAGCATCTTCACTTCTTTGGCTGTTTTCTCCCTGTCCTCCCGCAAATTGCGGTTGATCATCTTACTCTGCTCCACTGCCGGCTCGTCTTCCATGCTCAGTGTGCAGTTCAAGACTGCGGTGGGAGAGGGAACTAGGCCGGGGTCACTCACACACCACCCATAGCTCTTTTTTAATTTTTTAAAATTTTGAGACAAGGTCTGTCTAAGTCACTAAGTTACCCAGGCTAGGTTGGAACTTGTGATCCTCTGCCTCAGCCTCCCAGAGTGCTGTGATTATAGGGGTGTACCATCACACCCACCTAAAGGTGTTCTTTTATTTATTTATTTAGTACCAGGGATTGAATTCAGGACTTTGCGCTTGCAAGGCAGGCATGGCACCACTGAGCCAGATCCCAGCCTTAAAGGTGTTCTTAAATAAATGTTTGTACTGTGACCCATCCAAATGGAATTCATCATCTAAATGAAGTTTTTGGCATGATGAGAATATCCTCTATGTCAATGATGAAACTTTTAGAGACTTAGTGCCAAAATTGCAATCCAAAATCCACTTATTTATCACAAAGTGCCAACACTGCAGTAACTTGAATACTGAGGTTTTAGTTTAGAAAGAAACAACCCATACAACTTATGGTGTCATTGCAGAGAGATCTCTACATGCTTGCTGCTATGTGGGTGCCATAGGCTCACCATCACGGTTCTGTGTGTGTGCTCTCTCTCTCTCTCCCTCTCTCTCCTTGT